ACCTCTATTAAGTGTCTATCTATCAAGTATAATAAACCATAACCTACGTCCAATGAATAACCTATGTCAAGTATAAGTGCATAATTTGTAAGTTAACGAGTTTATAAACACTCTTATTATTCTTTATCTATCCTAGACCCAAAACTTACCTAATTTTTTTAATCAGTTTCCTAAAGTTCAAACGTAAGGGTAATTTCTAATTCCTCCGATTAGCGTAAATTCAATGGAATGTTTGTAATTTGATACACCTAATGTTTAATTACGTATATTATATATCAAAATCTTGATTTTTACTATGATAATTAACTTAATTTAAAAATTCAAACTCGCTATTTTTTGAAACCAATTACTTGTACTAGAAACCGATTTCAATACTATAATCCAATTGCACCGCTATGTGTTGAACTTCCATTCTCTTTAAACCCACAGTTACTAGATAACTATTAACTCCCATGTGCATAAATTTCTCAATCAAAATACAAACCCTGCCTTAAAAATTTAACTTTTCAGTTTCTTTCTCCAAGCACATCATTAAATAAAATGAATGGCCAACCTTTCCACAATCAACTTTATTTCTTAAATTAAGAATGTAAACACTTCTTTTCTAACTTAGTCATCGTAATTAAACCCACTACAATGAATTAAATATTCTTTTCCCCCAATTAATATAAACCAATGTGTATATAAGAAATTTTCAATTCCAACATCTTCTTAATTCGATTTCTCTCTCCCTATAAATAACAATTGCAACATACTACTAATAAATAGATCTCATTACATATTATTGAAAGAAATAAAATAGTTGAAGCATTACATGGATGGCAGTTGCTTCTAGTTGACAGCAAATGTAGCGTTTCTATCTCTTACTATTTTTAATTATCTAGGGTGACTAATTATGAACTAACAAATATTACATCTTACTAATTTTATTGTTATGTACTTGAAGCGCCGACTAATTTAACTATTCAAAACAACCCTACTAATTTTATAATGTATTATGAATAGTTCAAAATATCCATTTATAATCTAGAGGTATTATTTTATGAAATAAAAAGCTCTGGTACTCAAAAGGATCAAATGGGTCGTTACATTAGATACCAATTTAGCCATCGTTTGTCCTCAAACGATAAAAGAAAGCGAGGAAAATAAAGGTTACCTGAATCAACCATAGGTGGGGATCTTCTGTGCATATCCCCCTCATTATCCAGAGTGGACTTATCAACTTTGAAATTCTTCCACTAGAGATTCACTAAGGCAACCACTTTTGACCTCAACTTGTAGACCTCCGTATCTAGAATAGCTACCAGATCTTCCTTGTCAGACAAGTTCATATCGAGAAATACTGAATACTATAAAATAATACAGTTCGGATCAACATATTATTTCTTAAACATAAGCACATGAAAAACTCAGTGTGCACCTCACAACCCTTGATGAAGGCCAATTCAAAAGCTGCCTTCCACACACATTTAAGAACTTCAAATGGCCCAATATACCTAAATTTAAGCTTACCCCACTTAACAAAATGCATTACACGCTTCATGGGTGAAACTTTAATCAAGCCTCGCTCACCCTCCATAAACTCTAAGTCCATGACCTTCCGATTTGCATACTCCTTATGCTTTCTCTAAGATTCTAGAAACATCTCCAGTATGAATTTGAGTTTCTCTAACAATTCCCTCAAAGGTTTAGTACCCCAAGGTGTCATCTCGAATGCATCAAACCAACTGATGGGAGACCTACATCTCCCACCATACATGCCTCAAATGGAGCCATATCACTACTAGAGTGGTAGTTATTGTTGTACGAAAACTCTGCTAAGGACAAGAGCTAATCCTAATGACCACCAAAATCAATCACGCACGAACCAAGCATATCCTTTTGCACTTAATTTCTCGCACATACTACCCATTGGTTTAAGGGGAAATGTTGTACTAAGATTCAATATAGTACCTAATTGAGCATACAAGTTCCTCCACAAGTTAGAAGTGAATTGCGTACCTCTATTTGATATGATGGAGATTGGAACTCCATGAAATCAAACAATCTCACAGATATAAAGTAAGGCTAACTTCCCAATATTATAAGCCATGTTAACAGGAATAAAGTGATAATATTTGAGCAATTACACAAATATAATCAAACTTACTCAACGTCTTTGGAAGACCAACCACAAAATCCATTACGATTCTCTCCCACTTGCATTCACAAATAGACATTCTCTAATGTGTCCCTCAAGGCCTCTGATGTTCATACTTTACCTGTTGACAATTTGGACATTAGGCAACTTTGTCAATAATGTCACACTTCATTCTCCTCCACAATAATGATATCTCATATTACGATACACCTTGGTTGCACCAAGATGTATGGAATACATCAAATTATGCACCTTTACAACAGTAGAATGAGTCAAATCATTAACACGTTGATCGCATACCCCCCCCCCCCTTAATTCTCAAGACGCCTTCATAATCAATCAAAGCCTCTTTATCTTCTCCAAGAAATACAATATCTTGAATTGATCTCAGGTTCTCATCATCGAACTGCTTTCCCTTAATCTTTTAAAGAAAAGAATACCTTTACTCCAAACAGGCCAAAAGTCCTTATTTCTCAAGTAATTCAATCCTGATAAAGTCATTAGCTAGAGTGTGGACTTATCTAGCCAATGGGCGTCTAGAAACATGCAAGTGGCTAAACTACCAATGCTCCCTACTTATCTACTTAGGGCATCTACCACAACATTAGTTTTTCCTGGGTGATATCAAATAGTCGTATGATAGTCTTTCAATAACTTGATCCACCTTCTCTTCTTCTAATTTAAATCCTTCTAAATCAACACATATTGTAAGGTGCGATGATTTGTATGCACTTCGTGCTTGACACCATATAGATAGTGCCTCTATTGCTTCAATGCAAATAAAACTGCAGCCAACTCTAAATCATGGTTCATATAGTTACATTCATGCATATTAGATTGCTTTGAAGTATAGAAATTACATTTTGTCCTGCATTAGCACTGCATCCAAATAAGAATAAGATGCATCACAATATACAATGAAATTCTTACCTTCCACTAGCAAGGTAAGAGTCGGTGCAATACTCAAAACGGTTTTTAGTTTGAGGATGCTTTCTTCACACTCAACTGACCATACATATTGAACATTTTACTTGATCAAATTTGCCAGATTACAAGAAATGGAAGAGAATCCGTTGACGAATTGGCGATTAGTATCTATCTAAACAAACAAAGCTTCTTACCTCAGAAACATTAGCAAATCTTGCCCAACTCTTCACTACTTCAATTTAGTGGGGTCCACTATCACTCTATCCTTATAAACCATGTGCCCAAAGAAGGACATTGAATCGAGACAAAACTCACACTTGGAGAAATCGTCATAAGACCCGTTCTCCCATAACAACCCTAATAAAATTCTCAAATGCTCCTCGTGTTCCGTCTTGCTCTTTATGTATATCAGTATATCATTAATGAATATAATAAGGAAGAGATCTAGATATATATATTTAAAAAATTGTTCATCAGGCTCATGATAGAAGAATGGGCATTAATAATCCCAAAACACATTACTAAGGATTTGTAGTACCCATACTAGGTTTTAAAATAGACATTTGGCACGTCTATTACCCACATTTTCAATTGATGATCAGCGAACCTCAAATCTATTTTATAGAAAACACAAGAACATTATAATTGATCAAACAAGTTATCAATGTGAGGAATGACGTACTTTATCTTAATAGTTACCTTATTCAACTTCCTGTAGTCTATGCACATCCAGAAACTGTTATCCTTCTTCTTCACAAATAAAGTTGGAGCACCACAAGGAGATGCACTGGGTCTAACAAAATCTTTACCTAACAACTCTTGAAGTTGGCCCTTTAACTCCCTTAACTTAGTTTTGTTTATTCAATAAAGTCAAAAAGAAATTTGGCGAGTATCCGACTCCAGGTCAATACAAAAATCAATATCTCTATCTGATGGTATACCACACAGGTCTGTAGGGAAAAAAAGCACAAACTCACAAAAAAATAGGCTCGATCGAAGGCACTTTGGAAGTACCATCTTTGAGATGTTCCAAAAACGCTAAACAAGACTTACTCACCAACCTCTTAGAATGAAGAAGAGAGATATAATGAACTGCGGTGGAAATATAGTAACAGTCACACACTAGTGGATCTATCACAGATTGGCTAAGGTCACAGTCTTAGTATTACAATCTAAGATACCAAAATTTGGAGAAAGCCAATTTATACCCATAATTATATCAAAATCAACCATCTCTAGAATAATCAAATCTACATAAGTGTTTCTTTTAACAAGATTCATAAGGCAATACCCATACACCTTCTCAACTATCAAAGACTCACTAACAAGAGTAGAGACACGAATAGGCATGTCAAACAAGTAACAATGTAAATCGTGACTAGTACTGACTGATGAAGATACCAAAGAAAATATGGATCTACGATCAAATATTACGGAAGCCATGTGATCACAAACTAGAAGAGTACATGTGATAAAATCAATAGATGTCTTAACTTGTGGGCTCCCAGGCAAAGAATAAGTATGGGCCCTATAATCTATAAGTCCATTGCCCTTGCCGGAATGCACTCTAGTTATTCCAACCTTCCGACCACCCTACCTGAACTGGTGGCCACCATTACCTTGACAAACATATACCCCAAAATGACGGTCCCTTCCATGACCACCTCTACATATAAAATCTGATCGTATCGAGCCTTACTTGGCTTTGCACAATATTTCCTGATATGTATGGACTTTACCCACCAATAACAAATCCGGGAATAGAGTGTAAGTCTTTGTGAAGTTCAAAAAGACTAGAGATAAACCCCAAACATTGAAAAAGGTTTATTGGTCTTCAATGGACTCTCAACATTAGCCTATAGTGAAGACTTAATAGAACATTTGGATAGCCCCCCATAAATCTATCCTCATGAGTATGAACCACTAAACTCACCTGCATTATGGAACTTGTAAAATATTCACACCATTGTGAAGCCATTTTGCAAAACCCACCTCTTCCTGAAAAGATTTTGCAAAAGCAACAACCTGTAAAGCTGGAGTATGCAAATTTCACATCAATCCTGTTACAAAAAAACAAAACCACTTTTATTGAATGAAGAAAAGTTTAGTGGCATATCTGGATAATGCACAAAATTTAGCCTCATAAGCTGCAACAAAGAAGATAGCTAGTTTAGTAAAATAAAGAAACTATGATTTGAAAGAGAGATTTTAAAGCTATGTTTGAGAAATTATCTCAAACCAGAGATAAAGTTGTTTCAAAAATATATGAGCTAAGTATTTTCAAATTTCTATTGAGAACCTATATGGGGACGCGAGTTCATATCAAATAAAGTCTCCATAAACCATGTTGCCAACACGGACGGGATAAAAGATAATACTATTTAGATGATTACTCAGTGCTTTTTGGCATAGACTAGTGGATTGACTTAGTAGTTACGGTTTTATACTGATGTCAAGGTGTAGAGCGGTCCTCTTGCAACATGAGGTAATACGTTTTACCATCACTTAAGCTCATAGTGATGGTTGTCGGTTAGAGAATCTCCAACAGAAAATATATTACTTTCATATATAAGTAAAGTTGAGTTTATTATTTTTTTATCTATGATGAACTAACTGTTTACACTATTTTACAAGTTTTCCTTATATTGCATACGTCTTTACTGCTTTATATTAAGTTATGACTTTTTTAGTTTAGCATCGCCAAAGTAATTTAATTCTTACACTTTCAAGCCTTATAGTTGTGTTTAGTATTCCAACTGGCATAGTCCTACATTCAATGTTCTAATGCAAGTTGGCCTGCTTTGTCTTATGATGCAGACTCAAATAACCAGGATCAGCGCGTACTGCTTCATTTATCTATATTGGGCTTCAGATTTAGTGGTGAGACTCCTTGTATTTCGGAAAATCTTTTTATTGCATTCTAGTTAGTTCAATAGAATGTTGTGGGGTTCGTCTGAACATTCATCTAATTCAGTTTACGGGCTTCATAGACAGATACGCAATTAGTAGTTTAGTTTTGGAGCCTCGTTTACTTTGTAACTTCATATGTTCAAGTGTTGAGACTTAAGTGCAATTTTTGCCAGATTATCATATTAAGTATTTCTTTTAACCATACTTTATTTCTTTTTTTAGTTGAGTTGAGTATTCCATCGAGTTAAGTAATCCAGGCCAAGGATTCGCTCAAGGCTAGCAATAGTCGTAGGGTGTGTTCCACATCTTGGGTGTAGGCTCGGGGCGTGACAACTTGGTATCACGACATAGAGTTCAAGAGTCCTAGAGAGTCTATGAATCCCTATCAGTAGAGTCTTAGTCATCGGTGTAAAGCACGCCACATCTACTATTATGAGGCTACAACATTTAGCAATGTCTCACTTCTTTCATTTTCTTTTTGTGTGTTAGAGCTCTGAAATTCTCTCTCTAACTCGTGCTTGGACGTATTTCAGTGGTTTACAATGCCTCCAAGAAGAGCAGTGAGATGTCGTCCCCTAGAAGTGATATTGAGGAACAAGAGTTACCCAATGCACCTTATGTGTAATTACAAGGAAAAGACGCAAACACCAAATTCCCGGAATTTATCCAGATATTAAGTCAAGTAGCAACAAAACATGTCGAGCAACAGAGAGAAGTTCGATAAGAATGGACTGACACCTCTAGTGTTCGTGAGTTTTTGAGAATGGATCCTATTAGTGCAACAGTTGAATCAATAATAAGGATCAGGAATTTTTTTTTTGAAGAATTGAAGAAAGTGTTTGAGGTGATATATGTGTTTTAATACTGAGAGGGTTTAATAAGCTGCTTATGAAATGAAGAGTGTGGCTAGAATTTGGTTCGACCAAAGGAGGAAAGAGTGAGGATGTACCACATACATGTTGGAATTTCATTGAAGAAGCCTCCTTGGGGATTTTCTTTTTTCGAGAATAGAAGGAAGCAAAGGTACATGAGTTCCTCACTTTGAAACACAACTCGTTGAATGTGCACAAATATGGGTTGAAGTTCACCGAACTGTCTCGCTATGCTCTGGTGATGGTGAATCATATGAGGAGCAGAATGAGTTTGTTTGTCGCTGGTTTGGGTCGTGCTTCAAGCAAAGAAGGCAGGGATATAATGTTGATTGGAAAAACAGACATATCCAGGATAATGAACTATGTGCATCATGTTGAAAAGAAATAGCTGAGGAAAAGAGAAGGGTACAAAAACAAGAATGACATCATTGTAAATGAGTCTGGACAATTTAAAGGTGGTCCGATTCGACAACAAATTTAGAAATAGAAAGGGAATGCCCCATCATCTACTGGTGCACATGCGCCAAGAAACAAAGATTATTATAATGGTTCAAATTTGTAACTGTAAGGCTAGACCAGCCCATTCGCAAGGTAGTGTGGCGCAAGGTAGTGTTGCACAAGGTGATAGTTGGACTCATGCTTCTGGTCTGGGAAATTGAAAGGTGGTCCGATTCGACCACAAATTAAGAAATAGAAAGGGCATGCCCCATCATCTACTAGTGCACATGCGCCAAGAAACAGAGATTATTATAAGTGTTTGAATTTGTAACTATAATGCTAGACTAGCCCAATACCAAGGTAGTGTGGCAAAAAGTGGTAGTTGGACTCATGCTTGTGGTAGGTATGGTAGAAACCACATCGGTAGATGTCCTGATAGCCTGCCATGTTTCTTCAAGTGTGGTCAAGAGGGAGATTACATGAAAGATTGTCCTAAGATTAAGCAAGTGGGTTGAAATTCAGGCAATAGAGACCAATCCTCACCAGTTGCCCCACCAAATAGGGTTGTACGTAGAGTAGACACTTATGGTACTGACGGAGGGGAAAATTGTCTATACGCAATCACTACTTGTGAAGAGCAAGGGAACTCTCATATGATGTCACGGGTATAATCGAAGTCTAATTTCGATGATTATTCTTTGTTAGACCTAGGAGAAGTTAATCTTTTGTAACTCCTTATGTTGAAAATCAGTTTGCGATTCTTCTTAAAATAATTAGTGAACCCTTTTGTGTATTTTCACCTGTATGAGAGTCTATTCTAGCGGAAAGAGTCTATCGTGAATGCCCAATTTCCATCAATCACAAGAACACTATGGCTGATATAGTAGAACTAGACATGGTAGATTTTGATGTCATTCTAGGTATGGACTAGATTCATGCCTGTTAATCATCAATATATTGTAGGACTCATGTTTTCAAGTTTCAGATTCCTAATGAGCCAGTCATAGAGTGGTGTAGCAGATCAGCAGTGCGTAAGGGTCGTTTCATTTTGTACCTTAAGGTGAGAAAGTTAGTCTCAAAATGGTGTTTCTGTAACATAGTCCGAGTTAATAACTCAACTGCTGAGATACCTTTCCTTTAGTCAGTTCCTATAGTAAGTGAGCTCCCAGAAGTCTTTCCTGATGATCAACCTAGAGTCCCTCCCGAAAGAGATATAGACTTCCACGTAGACATCATTCGAGATACTCTTCCTATCTCTATTATTCCATACATAATGGCACCAACAGAGTTAAAAGAGCTAAAAGAACAATTGAAAGATTTATTACATAAAGGTTTCATTCGACAAAATGTCTCACCTTGGGGCGCTCTAGTCTTTTTTGTATGGAAGAAGGATGGCACCCTTAAGATGTGTATAGATTACCGTCAGTTAATTAGGTGACCATCAAGAATAAGCATCATTTACCAAGAATAGATGATATATTTGACCAGCTTTAAGGTGCTTCTTGCTTCTTGAAAATTAATCTTAGATTAGACTACTATCAGTTCAAAGTTAGGAAATGTGATATTTCAAACAGAGATTTAGAACCAGATATGGGCGTGTTTTGGGTTATGTCTTTGGATTAACAAATCTCCCTGCAACATTCATGGATCTTATGAACAGATTCTTTAAACCTTATTTAGATCTGTATGTCATCGTCTTCATTTATGACATACTGATTTATTTAAGGAGTGAAGAAAATCATGCTAGTAACCTAAGAATTGTTCTACTGACTTCGAAATATAAGAAGATAGATGTCAAGTTCTCCAAGTGTGACTTTTTGCTTACGTGTGTGGGATTCTTAGTCCACATTCTTTCTGGTGAAGGGATTAGAGTTGACACTCAAAAGATAAAGGCAGTTCAAAGTTAGCCTAGAGCCACATATCCAACTTATATAAGGAGTTTCTTTGTGTTGGTTGGCTTCTATACAAGGTTTGTTGAATGATTATCATCTATGTCATCTATTTTGAACAAGCTAACTCATAAGACAATTAAGTTTCAATGGTCTTAATCTTGTGAGAAAAGCTTTCTGGAGTTGATACAGAGATTTACTACAGATCCCGTTTTGACCTTACCAGAGGATACTCAAGTTTTTCTGGTACATTGTGATGCATCAACAATTGTCTTGGGATGCGTGTTGATGCAAAATGTAAAGGTTATAGCTTATATCTTCAAACAATTGAAGGTTGATGAGAAGAATTATCTAACTCTTGACTTAGAATTGGCTATTGTAGTTTTCACCTTGAAGATATGGTGTCACTTCTTATGGGGTGTTCATGTTGATATATGCACTGATTACAAGAGCCTCCAATATGTGTTTACTCATACAGAGCAAAATCGCAAATAGAAGGGGTGCTTAGAACTACTCAAGGATTATGATATGAGTATTCTTTACAACCAAGGTAAGTCTAACATAGTTTTTGATGCCTTAAGCGGGTTATCCATGGGGAGTACCATCCATTTTGAAGAAGAAAAGCGAGAGTTAGATAAAGAGGTGCACACACTAGCATGTTTGGGAGTAAGACTTATGGATTCCACAGAAGAGGGATAGTGGTGACCAATGGAGCTGAATCATCACTAGTATCTGTGGTGAAATAAAAGCAATATCAAGACCCCATTTTGCTTTTATTGAAGGCAAATGTTCATATGCAAAGAGTATTGAATTTTGAACAACGGGACATGGTGTGCTAAAGTACAAAGGTTGATTATGTATACTAGGGTGGATGTACTTCTAGAGAGGATTTTGGACGAGGCTCATAGCTCAAAATATTCCATTCGTCGAGGTTCAACCAAGATTTACCGC